TTCTGATATTTTTTATGCTGTAGCTTCTCGTTTGCGGCATGTGTGACAATGAAACTGACAACAAATCTGACGCTCAACTACAGTATTGAGGCTGAAACATTCCAGAGTGGACGCAAGTTCTCACGAGTCTGGTTTGGGGGACACGATGGCGACAAAAAGCAGCCCCACATAGTGAGGAAGAGAATTGAAATGAAATTTGATCCTTTACGGCGTAGAGGAGATGTTAAAAGATGTGAAACAGAGATGGTCTATATCAAGGTAATTTTGTTTCGGGCTTGATATTTGGCCATCTCATAGCCATTAAATTTTTGTTTACTAATTGGCATAAAGTTCTCATCAACCATGGTGTAGATGATGGAAATGTAATTAGGTAAAGTTCTCATCAATCATGGTGTAGATGATGGAAATGTAATTATTATGGTATGAATTTAAAATTGATCAATTTATAAGTAATGTAGAAGCTCTTCATCATTTTAGGTGTTTCTTACAAATAGAAATGCATAAAAATGCTTATAAGTAATGTGTCTGTTTGCGTTTAGTGAAAAAGTTATAACACTTGGGTTCTGGTGTTAGAATTATCATGTAATTTTACGTTGAATACTGTCACTGAAATATAAACTTGATACGGACTGATCTGCACTACATCGTTTCTTGAAGATGTCAATAAATATCTGTTGTGATATGTATTCACGAAATTGAAAACTGTACTGTCAGTGCTAAGAGGCAGTTTAATGATACATTTATGATAGCGCAACCACAAGGTTTCAGACCTGTTATTTGTTTATAGGAGAATCAGCGTGACATCCAGTCCCCAATCAAATTCCAGTTGAAGTATGAGCTGGTACAAAAGGAACCCCCAAGGCTCGTACCAGGACAGCCATTGCCTGATATTGATAATTACCCAGTTCTAAACCAGCAAGAGGCAGCCAAGACATTCCAGGCAACATTTCAGAATGACTGTGCTGATGAAATTTGCATCAGTCAGCTCTACCTTGAAACATACCTCCTACTTCCATCAGGTATTGGTTGATGCAAGTTCTAATGCTGTGTAGTCCATTATTCCATTCAACTTCTGGTTGGGAAAGTGGGGTTATGTGAGCATGAACTTGTGGGTTCCATAAAATATATGACATTTTCTCAGTTGCTTGACATCCATTCTCTTCTTCAGAAAGAGCATGTACTATGTAGTATATTAGTTGTCTTGAGAATAATGTTGGTCTGAAAGTTTTATGACATTTATTATTTTGATGAAAATTAATGTATTTAAATCTCGATATACTGTATATGTATAGATGTTGCCTGAACGTTGCGAGCTATTCCATGTGGTTGCTAATTTTACTGAGGTGACTTGCCTGAACGTTGCGAGCTATTCGATGTGGTTGCTAATTTTACTGAGGTGACAGGTGACAGAAAGAAGTCCTGCCTGTTGTGGGGCTGATGGCACTAGAACAGGTAGAGAAAAAGTAGAGGGGTTGGGGCCATTGGACTTTTTCCTGTTGCCTGATTACAGTCACTCAACATTTCACTTTATGGGACATCAAATTGCTTTTTGAGGGTGTCAATGAAAGCTACAGTAATTGTCTGTTTTAGGGCGACGTCCTAACACGTGGGAGCTAATCATGGGTGAACAAGAGGCTGTCAGGCTGAACGTGACAGCTCACAACAATGGCGAGTCTGCATATGATGCCTGGCTGTTTGTGTCTCACCCTGCGAGCCTTAACTACACTGCTCACAAGACTGATGTAAGTGAACTGTTAAGCAATGCTTTAGTTAATATTTAATTTAATGTCAGAAATATAGAACAGGCTTGGATAAAAATACTAACTTCCCAGGTATGGTGAGTATTGGGGTGCTTTGCACAGCCAGTCTATTTGAGGTCAGTGTTCTACAGACTGGCCAATGGCATCACAAAAACAACACAGAAAAACACACAATGTGATGACAGAAGCAATATACAATATGACAAAAAAGCCTTGGGAAACTAGTTTCAGACAAATGTATCTATATGTATTTTTCTGTGAACTTATGTTTTGTATGTTCTTTCCAACTTATCATTAATAAGTTAATCACCCTAACAATATCAATTGAAGAGTGAAACTTTGAAGCCATTCACTATCTAATTAACTAATTTTCTTCATTTTTCTTGTTACTTTGTTCACATTGCAATTTCTCAGGCACTAGCATTAGACACAAATTTCTTATGGTTCCACTGAATTTGCAGAGTAAACACATGAGCTGCACCCCGCACAATAAGACACTGATAAAGTGCAATATCGGCAATCCTTTCAAGCAAGGCGCTCCTGCCAACATTCAGCTTCGGTTTGATCCGAAGGGTCTGGCAGATACTGAATCCCAGCTGGAATTTGTTGTGTTTGCCAACTCAACATCAAAGGAATTAGATCCTCAGGCGCCCTCTACTCTACACACCAGTGTCATTCGCAGGGCGGAAATTTCTGTCACAGGGTGAGTTTAATTCAGTTCAATTTGAATAAGAGGCGGTCCTTGGCTCCTGTTGTCAACTGGACTTTGAATCTAACATGTATTACTTCTGGAACGTGTATGCTGAGATCCTTCTCATATCATCTCTTGACACTTCAAAGCAGCTGCAGAAGTCCATAAAGTGAATTAATAAAGAGAATGTCTCTCGAAAGGGTTGATTTGATGTAATTGGTTTTGCTATAATGTCCAACATGTTAGTTTTCTCAGAGCTATAAAATTCTTACATCTATGAAGAAATAAATTAACTCTAATCTTTGATACCTTGCATGGCATGAAAATCCATTTACTGCAGTCTCAATGACTGATGCCATGGCCACAGAAACAAGAAAGTCCTTCATGTTGTCGGTATTTATAGCAAAATTCTGCCACAAGAATAAGTTTTCCCTTAATTCTATCTGTATTGCAGTTCTGTGGATCCGGATCACGTTTATTATGGAGGGGTTGTGCGCGGAGAATCAGCCATGGAGCACCTTGATGACATTGGTGAGAGAGTGATGCATACGTACCACATCTTCAACCAGGGACCTTGGAAAGTTGGTAGCCTTGAAGTGCATATAGAATGGCCTTTCCAAGTTGCCAACAACAAACCGCAAGGAAAATGGCTTCTGTATCTTGAAGACAGACCAACTGTAGAAGGTTTGTTACACTTCAGTCAGTTAACATAACATTTTTTTAACGGTAGACCATGTATTGTTAATTGTTAATGCATGTTCTGTGTTAACATAACACGCAGATGTTATGCAAGGACAAGGACAAGATAAATATTAGTAGCGCTGTCAGTAGAATGAAAAGTTACAAGAAGAACCAAGAGACTGCTTCATGCCATTGATATCTTTGGTGGACTGACATCTGGACTTGGTACACTGTATGTTCTCTTTTGTGTTTGTACGTACACGATGACCTTCGAACTACTTTCCTGTCTGAAGTTTGTTGAGATTTTCCTAAATCTCTCCAGGAAAATGGCAGGTTAATAACACTGCATTAGATCACAAGTGCCTTTTTCCAAAATATTAATGAGCTGACCATTCATGATCATCATCTCATTTCTTTCAGTGCTGCAGTCTCTAACTGAAAGTGTTATTAAACTAAGAATCAGTCTACCAGTTGCAAGTTCTCATGTATCTCAGTAAAGAGATGCTCCAGTTGACTATAAGTGCATATAAAAAAATATCGCATTGTGTCACAGGACAGGGCGGTGGAGAATGCTTCATCGCACATGGCCATGTGAATCCCTTGAACCTGACTCGCCGACCTGGAGTGGAAGAGCTCCCTCTGGAGTCTCTGAGACTCCCTTCAAGGCCTTTAGCTGCTACTTTGGAACCTCCGGAGCCCACGTGGGAATCAGATCATCCTCAGACTCGGCGAAGGAGGCGAGATGTTGAGATGGTTGTCAGAGCTGAGTCTTATGTAGATAAAGATGGGAACAAACATGAACTTGTTAATATGGTGAGTTGGACTGGTGGCAGCATCCTTTTATTTGTATACCAACTCAGTCCAGGGTGTGTCCTCGTAACTTCTCTGATTGGAATTATTTTTAACCCTCTGAGTGCTAATTGCTTCTGTAATTGCATATTTACATAGAAGCTTCCTTATTAAATGAAATTCAGTTCAGACTGATGAAGTAATACGATATCTGCGGCTTGCCGCTACGGTGTAGACCCTGTGCTTTTGTTATGCTCAGTCAGCAACAGTTTTTTGTCTGTAATAAATGAACATTATGATCAGTGAAGGATGTGAAATCACAAAGAATGTGTGTACTCTATTTTGTGATACTCATTACTTCACTTGTTATTTATTTTAGTTAGCTGATCTTATTTTGTAACTTTTCAGAACTGTCTTCTGGGAACGGCAAAATGCTTAAAATTTTATTGTGTGGTATTTAATCTGCGAAGGAACCATGAGGCTACCGTCAGGATACGAGCCAGGTATGATTGACGTTTGTTATTAAGTTTTGATACCTGGTCAGCTTGGTGGCCATGCCAGCTGGCCACACTGCATTTCGTGTTATAACATTACATGCATTCTGTCAGGCATATGTTGTCATATTTCCAGGTCTATTACACACACTTCTCTGGACTGGCTCTGGTCGAAGGAAGGTAATCATATAAATGTTTGTATGTGCAGGTTATGGAACTCGACTTTAGTAGAAGATTACCCAAATGTATACTCCGTGAATATTAAGTCACGGGCAAAGATGCATTTGCCCCCTGGTCTTATGATTCTTCAGAACCCTGATGATGATGAGGCTCAGGTCAGTGCAGAAAATCTAACTACATTCAGCGATTCTATTGCCTTGCGCTGTTTTAATTGCTGTTTCATTTCTCCCATTATTGGCTCAGAAAATTGACCTATATAAAGGTACCATATTGTGATATGCCCATATATGGGCTGTTGTGAACTCAGTAATGGACCTTCAGGTCCTACAAAAGCAGGATATTTCTTCTTCTTCTTCTTCCTCTTTTTATTTGGGGGGTGGGGGGGGTTGCTTGGTGTGGTCATAAATATAACTGTTTTTTTTGTGAGGAAGGGGGGAAGATATTATGTGACAGGATTGACACTTGATTTATAAAAATACAGTTCATCATAAAAGTGGGAATGCCCTATATAACACTTTCATTGTGATTAATTTTTATAAAAATACAGTTCATCATAAAGTGAGAATGCTCTATATAACACTTTCATTGTGATTAATTTTACTGTTTTTCTCATGCATTGTTTATTTTTGCCACAAGGTGGAGACGGTTGCATACCGAGATCCTCTGGATCAACAGGAACCAGAACCCGTACCGATATGGATAATAATTGTGGCTGTAGTGGCAGGCCTATTGCTGCTTATCCTTATTACACTTGTACTGTGGAGACTTGGCTTCTTTAAGCGGCGGCGTCCAGATCCCACCCTTTCAGGAAACTTGGAAAAGCACCGAGATGAAAATGGTGACTACTCATCATAATGACTATCGAATTCTTGTGTGTGGGGGCAGATAGTTGTTGTTTCCTCATCCTAATATCAGTGAACTAAACAAGTAGGGTGTACAAGCTGCTCAGCTTGTTCAATAATAAGTTGAAATGTGAAGGTCGGTACCACATTAAGGACATTACCATGTCGTCTTTGGGCAGATAGAGCCACTGTTAAACTGTGGTAATATTTAGGATCAAACCATGAAGCTTCTTACTTCAAGCCTATGAATATAGGTGTGCAAGAATTTCTACTCCGTTTCATAAAAATATAATGTCACAGGATACATGTCCAAGTAAGAAAGAGGTTTTGGAAGTCACATATGTTACATTGTAATACCAACTCTTTAACTTAGAAATGAACCACTTGCAACAGAAAGATAGCTTTTGAGCATCTGCCATGTTGTACATGATAGGTCTTGTAGAACCTGCTTGATATTCTGGCATGTTTAACTGGCAGGGGAATGGTTAAATTCATGTCCTATTGTATTAAAGATTATTAAAATCATCAATTTTGGGATTTGTGAAATTTTGCCAGAATTTAATTTGCGAGTACTGTTTAATTTTCCTGAATTAAACGTGGTCTGTATAATTAGCACAGTGTAATACAGAAAACATTATATATTTTAATTTTGTTGGATGAGACTATGATCCAAACTTGTAGGTCGTGAAATGCAAATAAAGTCCCATCTTGTCTTCACAGAAAGTCATCTTCCTGTTGCACTGAACTCTTATAAGGTCGGTGACAGTGGATGGACAGACTGTAGTTTGAGATGAAATTAATCTCCCAAAGTTGATATTAGTTTCTGGTGCACAAGTGTGTCAGTTACTATAAAGAATATAATGTGTGAATGGTACAGAAGGTAACACAGCCAACAGCAGAGGCTGTGCTGAAAAGAAATTCTAAATTACAGTGAAGTGTTTGTTTATATATGTATGTATGTGTTGTGTAAAATGTGAAATCATTTGAATAATTTAATGATTTATCATGAAAGACTCATTTCATATGTTTGATAGATGATGTGTCATACAAAACTGTAAACAGTCCAGCAGGTTTCATGTTGTAATTTTAGGACAGTTTTAACCCTTCTTACTCTGAAACCTATTATAGCTGGGAATTCTTCAATGCAGCAGAATAATTACTTCTAAACGAAAATATCCAAGAACACATAGTTTAGGCTGGTATAGATGGCATCTGAATGCAGAAAACCATGAACATCGTTCAATTTGAAGCACGTACTTTTCCGAGTGTGTTGTTTGAAACTTGCCTTTTATAAATTCTTTTCCTTATTACAGCTGCTTTTAATTGACTTGTTTTACTCATATTAAAATGTCTTTGTGGACTGATGATGGTCTGAGTTACATTTTGACTCTATATCTAAAACTGTAGTTTTATTATAAAAAATGCAATTAATTGAATGAGGTGAACATGCTGTATTCTGACACGATATTTTTGTGTTATTTGTAAGGAGATCATTAGTATGTTGCTCGTGACAAAATTGCCTAATTGTGTGTATATGCGTACTTGCATGTGTGTTGTCTGATTTTCACTGCTACAGGCTCCATTCTTTTGTATTTACTCAGATGTAAATTATATGACCATTTTCAGATCTTTCTCTACATCAGTTACTATGTGTTTGTTGGAAGAAGTGGCAAGATTCGAAGAGCTATTTTAATACTGATGTCCATTACTGTTATATTATGTTTCTAATGCCTCAGTGTTATCAAATACAACTGTAAAATGTTAGTTTTACTGCAAACAATTTATGATTTAAAATGTCACGTTGAAACTTATTAATTTCAGCAGTTTGTGAGTCACTTGACTAAAAGTAGCCAAATTATGTAGGTTTGATGAAGATGGTTGCCTTCTGAGTTGTTGCACCGTGTAGTCTGGTACAAGTTTGCCGACATTTCAGAGGTCCTTGCTGCCACCATCGTCATGGTGATGATGATGGAGGTAGCAAGGACCTCTGTAGCGTCGGTGAACTTCTACCAGACTACACACTGCAACAACCCAAAAGACAACCATTTTCAAACTTACCACCATGAAAACCTCAAATTCTACATGTAGGGTGGATGTTGATAATAAACTGTTGTATTTGATTTTCTTGACGTAGCTGACATCAGGGTGCTTGACTACTTCCTTCATTTCCATTTATTATTGTATGTGTTATCATGGCTTTCCAGTTGACCTGGCTGTGATTTTTGGCAGCTGTAGGTTACTTTGAATTTTGACTTCAAGTCAGAATAAGTCGAGTGAAGAAAAAGTGTATAAAATTACCGTCATATTGCAGACTTACAGAAAGAGAAAATTGCCAGAATTAAGTGATATGTATACTGGTGTTTAGTGTAAGATGATAAATATTTCAACGTTTTATTGTGAAATGTTGAAAGAAGAAGAACCCAGTGAAGTGCAGATTGAGAAAGGAAATGGCATTCAATTCATGAAGTCACTGCTGATTCTTGTACATTTTATTATGTAGATTTTCTATTGAGGTTATGTTACGTATTTTATGTTGTACATGAAAGCAAATAACTCATATGTATTGATATCTGCAGTTATTGGACAGTCTCTGACGACAGCAGCAGTGTCCATGGTTTCCAGCTTGTTACCTGATTAAAATTTCCATTTCAGTAATTTTCAGGCTCAGATACCCCTAACAAGGAAGTCCACTTTGTGAGGATGTCACAGCATGTCTGCCTTAATAAGAAAAAAACCTGTTTGGCTTCAATACCTCGTTACAAATGCTGGGATAGTATATGGAATCATATAATGATTTGCTGTCACTTTTGTTCCGTACATGTATACCTGTGAGTCACATATTTATCCCTAATGCCTGGTGCTCCATGTATTTATAAGGGAGACAGGGACATTAGAAAAATATACGCTCTGTTGTTCTCACGCCTTAGGCTAGAGACCAGAACATTACTTGTAGACCACCAGGTCCTTTTTATTCTTATCATTTTAATAATGGCATGATTACATACTGTGATATTTTTACCTTTGTGAAAGTCAAATATTTTATGATAAGAACTGGCACTGAGTCCATGTCTCGTCTGTGCAATTACTGAAGTGGTGTCAAAATATTAGCACTCGTATCCTTATTTAACCCTTTCCACGCTGGATTTTAATTTAGAGAACATTCTGTTGTTGGTATACTTCCAGTGTAAAATGTAGTTGTTGTTTTCTTAATAGCCATAAATAATTTTAACTGCTGAGAGTTGGTGGGACACCCATTAAGTATAATTCTTCTTTTGTGCAAACCATTCAAAGACAATCGTCAACGAGCTTGTTTTCCTGCTCTATTAAATGAACATGAAAGCAGTACCATATTGATCTGTTATCACATTGCATAATACATTCTGATCAATTCGCTGCTCCTTGGTTTTATCAGTTTTATTTTAGCTGAGCTGGAAATATTTCTAAAATATTCTCATGTGAAGGCTGTTCAATATTTTATTATTATTAAATGTAATTTTGACCATTTGTAAGGAGGTAGAATTTCTTGTTCTTAATTTTGAACCATCAAAGATACAGTGTTGTTGTTGGTGGAAGGTCCCCTGAAGTCATCATTATATGTAACGTAAATATATCTTTATTAATTTGAACCCATTGTTTTCAAAACTGTGTGAGTGCCAAGAATATAGAATGTGATATTTGATTCTCATCTGATCTGCAAGTTGTCATTGTTTTGTAATGCAGTTCTGTTGTAGATAGCCAATTAGTCGTAAGTGCGTGTATGTGGCTGTGTATGCAGAGGAGATTTGCTGCCAACAATCTGCACAAAGTTTATGCAGGATCTGAATGATATTGTATTTTGTCAAATGATAAATATTATACATGTGATTATAACAGGTTAATTTTATTTTATATGTCTTATTTTAAATAAAAAAGTACAAGTCAGCCCTTATAGACTGAGGTTTTTTCTTAACATCACTTATTTCTTTTCTCATAAAATAGCATTCTTATCTTTTTAGTAATACTTTGTATCATATGCCATAAAATACTGCATATATAAGTTACAAATGTTTAGTTGTCATTATACAGAGTTAAGATTTTGTTTTTCATGCAGCTTCTCAGCCCCTATTCTTTTTCATATTCTATTTCTCTTCCCAACTCTTTCTTCCTATTGTATTTCTCCCACATGAAACCCCATACTGTCCGACTCATATTAAGCCCATTCTATGAAGTGTGAGGTTCATAAACGCAAGACAATTTATTGAATATGTGAACAACAGTCAGCTTCTGAAGGGAGACTCTGGTTTGTAGAGACAATTACTAACTTTAAAAAAGTTTGTCTTTCAATTATACAGCAAAGTGAAGTATGCATACACAAATTTGAACAATTTCAATATTCCCGCTGTTGTCCAGTTTGATTTTAGTATGAAGTATGTCATGTTTGCCACTAGATGTCTCTAATACTCTAAACGTGGCTTCTTATAAGAATGTGTGATTATTCGTTCAGCTGTCAAGTATTGGTAGCTAGATAGGCAATTATTAAATAACTGATAAACTTTAGTACTTATATGTAGCTACAATGGAATAAGGTATAGTATAATGTATATAATAAAAACTTTCTTTATGAAGTTTTGGGTAGAATTTACAGTACAAATATTCACATTCGTAATGGTTTGCTTTGCCCAGCCCAGAGTTAAAAGGTCGTATAATACCAGTGTTTTTATGTAACAAAAATGAGTGTGACACCGAATTTAGTTCTATAACTAGCAGTACTGAGTGAAACGTTTTTAAATGTACGGAATTTAAGTTATCATACTTCTTAAACTATGATAGGTTATGTTGCTTTTGGTAACAGGTTGGCCTAATTCTAGTTTATGTGTTACCAGCATCACATTAGTATAAAAGATATGAATTTTATAATATTTTTAAGGAGAAGTTGTTATGTGGGGGTGTTGCCATGTAAGGAGAGGCGATGTCGGACCTCGACCGCAGCCTCACAGCAATAGATTGGCTGCCATGCCTCAATGCCCACAACACATTGCAAACAACAGATGGTTCGGTGGAAAGCAGCAACAATGGTGAAGTTGATGCCATGATCCGAGAGTCAAATGTTGGTTCGCCTAATCGGGCCAAAGATGGAAAACCGCCTTACAGCTATGCAAGTCTAATTCGTTTAGCGATCAGTAATGCACCTAAAGGAAAGATGACTCTTTCGGAGATATACCAGTTCATCATTCAACAGTTTCCATACTATCGGGATGCAGGAACTGGTTGGAAGGTACTACAGTTCAGAATAGCTGTTATTTTTTATCAGCATCAAAGAATAAAGCTCTGTTGTAAGGAAGTAGATGATGGACAAATTATTGTAAGCTATCATGCCTGCTACTGAATTTATAACGCAAACTATTCTAACATAACCAATGCAACAGGTCACGATACTCTAAAGAAATTTGATTTTGTAGCCCACTAATTATAGTTTGGGTTGGTACTACAATAGTTGGATTTCATTTAGGTTTTCAGGTTAGTTTAATATAACATCCAAATAACAAATGAACTGGGCTATGGACCTGTAGTAGCGTTAGTCTCCTTGTAATATGTTTCAGAACTCCATACGCCATAATCTGTCCCTTAACAAGTGCTTCACAAAGGTTGCACGTAGTAAGGATGACCCAGGGAAAGGCAGCTATTGGAGTATAGATTACAACACAAGTCAGGACGACGGCTTCTCGAAGAAGAAGAAATCCAACTCTCAGTTGTTCAGGGTGAGTTTAGGGGACTGTCGGTACATGCTCTTTGACATCTATTTCAACTGCTGTGGACCAACCATGTGCATTGGTACAGTGATAATGCACCTGAATTGCTTTAACATTTATTAATTCTGCACTTTGCCCGCAAAGTGTGTGGGTTTTATGCGATTCTTAGAATAAAGAGCGATTATTTTCCTAAACAGCATTATCCAGTCGGTTTATGTAATGGAGGTACGCTGTGTTCTTTGAGGTGAAAACTGAGCTGTGTGCTTCAGAGGGTTGAATCTTGACACATTCGGCCGAGGTTTTTGAGTTTTTCCCCACTGTTCATTGTTTCTGTAATGTGCAGAATTACTGTTTCAGGCATCACCATACAGTCCAGAGTGCAGCAGCAACAGCAGTGACTATAACACGTGTTCCTTCACAGCTTCTGGGGCTGCACGCCCAAAGGCGTCTGACTGGCCATCAGCCCCAAACAGCAAGTATGAGCAGCAGCATTCTGTGAAAGCTGACTCTGGCTGTCCTGCTTCAGGTACTGAACACAATTATCCTTCCCTATCACGTTATAATACAGCAATTCAGATTTGATCATCACGTGTCAGTAAATAATCTTGTCTGCTTCATATTTGGCAGTTTTTTTGGAGGACCGAATATTCTAGGATGGTTTCAGAGCTAATGTAGACGTTGAGAAAGGATTAAATTCTGGGTCAGATTTGAACTGCACCACCATATGCTCCCTGCCTAGGCACCTGAGAAATCATGGGAGCTGTGTCGAATGAATTTTTACATTTACAGCAGATGTTAAGAATTCATTCTGCACAACACTAAAGTGGTCTGAATTTGTGATGATGAATGTGTAAATGGGATCTTATGACTCCCTTCTTTACACTTCTTGACTGTGACTGTGAGTGTATGAGAGGCTTTTCCTCAGTTGCATATGGAATATATGATGATAGCAGTCCATACAGCTGGTCTCTGGACTGAAAACTAAGCTTTGGACTTGCAGATTATGAGTGAAGTGCTAAATATTCCACAGTGGAAGTCACTCGGTTGCTCGTAGCTTGTAAAATTGTCCTATCTCATCAACATTAAAGGTTTTATTTTCTTCTCCTTTCTCTTCATAGATTATCATTTTGCTTGCATTATTCCTACATGGCACAGAGTATGAAATGCAATGTTTGTGCTACTTGCAGGTGACGGCGTGCAGCCGAACTTTGAGCCGGCAAGGGCGTCGGTGAGGGATCATGAAGGAAGTGGCAGTGATCTGGGACATCTGGAACTTAATGACACCAATGAGATCTCAGCTGTTCTTAATGGACTTCTCTCTCAGTATGGAATGAGTCTGGAATCTGAGCATCATCATCATCAGCAGCAGCAGCAACAGATGTCTACTGGTGCATCTGGCATGCTGTCTGGTGACTCCTCATACGTGTCGCACAGTGCTGCTAATGCAGAGTCCCCATACAGCAGTATCTTGCCAAGGAATATTAATCAGTTAGACCCCTTTATCCATGTTCAGAGAGGACCTTCAAGTCTCAGTGAATCTCCATTCACAACCACTCCGAGAGGAGGATCAGGGAATGCCAATGATTCTCCATATACTGCTGTTCCAAGACGAGTGAGTACAGCCAGCTCTCCTTACAGCTTGGCGCCAAGAGGTGCCAGCAATTCACCATATTCTGATCTGTCACGAGCCTCCGGCTCTCATGACTCCCCATACACAGTCTCCCAGGAAGATGGCTCTCCGTATAGCAGTCGGTGTTCAAGCACGATGGGGGCAAATAATGAAGCTTACTTAGCTTTGCCCAATGGGGCTAATACACCAAACGGCCATTACTCTTCTGTTCCTGGAAACAGATCTGTACCACAAAATGACCCTTATAACTTCCAGCTTGCTTCCAGTGGGCCTTATATGAAACTCCCGCACAATGAAATATTTCCTAGCAGGCAGGATCCTTATTCTGACTCATATCCAGGTATTTCCAAAGAAATCTTGAACAGAGGAAGTCATGACATAATATATCCGAATGCTCTAAGTGGCTCCGATAATCCATATCATGGCGGGGCGTCTGATCCGCAGTACTCAGATGTTGAAAGTGGTGCCTCATACAGCAGTATCCAGTCAGGTGCACCTGGTTCCTGTGGAAGTCCATACGCAAGACTGCCCGTGGATAGTAAATCTAATGGAAGCTCCTATGTTAATGTTCTTGGTGGAGGTAACAGCGTTCCATATTCGGGTGACAGTAACAGCTACAGCAGGACCAGTACTCATGATGGTAACTATGTTGGCAGCTCTCACGATATTCCTCTCTCGAATAGCAAATCTCATACTCGCAGTCAGAATGACTCTAGTAACTCTTTTAATCATGACTCTTCCATGAATGTACTGTACAGTCCTAACAGTGGGCATTATCACAGCGCTAACGTCTCAAATACGGCCAGTGCAAATGGCGCTGCTTATTCTAGTGCATACAATAGTAGGAATCCAGTGACCTCTCGTGAGTTTGAAGGTTCGACATTAGACGACATGATCGAGATGGTACCGAATCACAGTTTTAACAGCGGCGGCCGGTCTGAACAAACATTTCAAGAAGGTGGTAGTTTTGTTTCTGGGCAATCAAAACATCATGGGATTCAGTCCGTAAACTGCGCTGTCTTTCGGAATAACGACTGTAAAGTCAGTGGTAGCCCTTCCTCTATGGAGCACGTGTTTCGAAGTAAAGACTGTGGGAGTGGTGGATGCTCGACTGCAGAGCACAATTTTCAGGCGAGTGAGCGCGGCGAGGAAGGGCCACCGATGTCAGAACGAAACAGCACCGACAGTCACGTAAACTCTGATAGGTATGCAAGTGGTGGATGCCCACAAGGCCTGCTTGTTCATCGTGCGAACTACAGCCGTGGTGAAGTGATGAACCCGCCTGCGTTAGCAGATCGCCACTCAGACGATGAAATAGAAGATGATTTCAATTGGGATCGCCTCTTATAACATCAGCTCCACACAGTTAGGTATGACATTACTGTGTAGAGAATTACAGTGTTTTTCATTATTGTCATTGTTTGTTGTTGACTGAAAGTTAACAAAGGAACATCAGATTACTAAAATTAATTATACCATCGTCACAATAACATTTTTTACTATTTTATTTTAATATACTAAACCGCAAATGATGGTTGTATTGTTGATTAAATATTGACATTTTGACTACCAGTGGTTTTGGGGGGAGGGGTTGTATTCCTTGATTTTTCGTTGTGTGAGATTAAATTTGTTTTCCCCAAATGAGATTATGAACAGCGTGTTTCTTCAGTCAACCAAACTCTACTTTCAGTTTTTGTGTTTACTCGATATATTAATATTTCGTTGACCTTTGTTAACATTATGCTATTTATATCTACAGAATGTTGTTGGCGTATACATATGTTGTATTTATATGGGTTTATATAGCGGAATATTTTGTTAAGATCTGTAAAAGTTTGTATCAGACCTCATCTTTATGTTTTATTAATACTTTGAAAACTGTTATTGTTAATATAGTGGAGGAAAGAAATTCAAAAAAAAAAAAAAACTTTCAGGTTAAATTTTCCTTGAGGTTTCTAATAAGTGGTGGAGTTCTTAATGTTTGAACTAAACTTTCTCATATAGAGTTCCTAATATCTTGAGAATGGTTTGGGAATATTTAGATTAGTGTTGCAAGATTGGGTTTTTTCTATTACAATCGTTGTTTAGTTATACTCTCATTGACATTGAATTGGAGGATTGATTGCTGGTAATGTGTCCACGTTCAATCCTTCATATGTCCGTGATATTATATACGTTAAGGTTTGTCAAGAACTAATATGGTAAGTAATACAAGTTAGCAAATATCATAAAATTTGTTCTGTGTGGTCTTATATCCTATGTTTAAATGCCCCTAAAACATTTTGACATTGTGTACCGATTGTTTACTCAGAAGAGTGTATCATGAAGAAATATGGTTCTTTCTTTTGATAGAATGTTTGATTGCATTACGCATTGACATATTGCTCAAGCCACACTATAGATGTAACTTCTGTATATGTAAACGTCACTTTAAACTAAGCTTTGTGCGGAATTGTACAAACCTGAAATGTAACATTTATAGAAACGAACTGTGTGATTAGTAATGGTTGCATAGTATACTTCATTAATAACAACTTGTCTCCCGCAGAGTAATGACATTTGTTGTTTTGTTAACAAATAAAAGTTAAAATGATTCAGCGTACAATGGACAATGTGAAACGCATCAAAGCAACAGTGGCACATTGTATTTGTGGCACTGACCCTCTGGCGCCTCTTTAAACCTTGCGATGGCCATGGAATTATTGTAATAAGCCTTTTGTAGCGGGCGAGAATATCGGAATCCGCGGGCCGTATTTTATTTAAGTACCGATCTTACAAATGAGCCGGGATAGCTCAGTCAGTATAGTGACTAGCTACGGGCTGGACGGCCGGGGTTCGATCCCCTAGCCTCTGCATCCAGATCGGCTCTGGGGCCCACCCAGCTTCCTCTACAATGGGTACCGGGGTCCTTTCCCGGGAGGGGTAAAGCACGGCCAGGGCGTGATGCTGACCACTCACCCCCATCTAGTGCCGAGGTCAACAAAGAGAGAAGCTATACCTCCACTCACCCCAAGCGCCTTTATGGCACGTAGCGGGACAAACTTTACTTTACTTTTACCGATCTTACGAACTCATTAAGTCGCATTTTACGGTGTGAAAAGATTGAAATAATCACATAACGTGTAACTTCCTAATAAATTACCATCTGTTATAACATATATTGTTAAAATTAATTCAATAATTTTGGTACTAAGGTTATGAAGATGAGCGCAAGGTGTGTTGAACTGTGAAATAGTAAATTACCAGTATAATTGCCTAGTCATTATAATCTCTGTTTTCTGTAACCACTTTTGACAGAAATTTCTGTCGCACGGATCTGAAGCCTGTCTGGCTTTATATAACTCTAGTGTCTGTTCCCCGGGTGGTAGAATGATCATAGGGGCAGTTGTTATTCTTCAGATGCTATGTACCTATAATCACAAGTATGTCTGTGTTGTGAATTTTCTAATAAGTTATTTTCTCCAGTTAAACCAAAATGAATAGGACAACCTCCCTCATTTTGGGGTTGATTATATAGGGACCAAAGAATGTGTTTAACTTTTTAACCATACCCAGTTTGATTGCATCGTTGCTTCCAGTTAACTGTATTTTTGTGATAGTATGTTCTCGCCTTCTTAACGTGGTTGGCATTTCAGTTACTGAACTGACATGAAAACGTGTCAGATATATTTGGGCATTCAGCTGTCTCTCCTGACGGTTACGTTATTTTATCTTGGGCTCTAAATAGAGCCATTATTATGTGGAAATAACCCATTCATTTTTGCATTCTGTACATGAAAGTTTATTCAGACATTTTTATTTTCAAGCACGGAGTGTTTGTATTGTTATTATAGTAATGAAATACATTTTGTAAATGTGTTCCATTTGGTAGAACAATTTTTTTTTTGGGGCATTCTCCTATGTCTGTAGGTCACAAACTTTTATTTTTCTTGTAAGCTTATATATAATGGGCAGTAAATAATAGTATTGCACTTTTTGTAAACTTGATTTTTTTATTACTTGCAAAACAAAAGTATTACAATTTTCTATATATTTCTTGGTTAGTGTATGTTTTTCTGAATATCTGCAACTCGTGTATTTATAAATGAAAGGAATTTTCGTAGACACAGATTGTTAGTATACTAACTATGGAACAAGATTAAGATGTCTGTGCCCCACAGCACCTTGCCTTGACACACTTACTAAATAGCACACCTGCTTTCGTACAAGAGGTCCTGAGTTCGAATCTAAGCCAAGCCTGTCTGCAGGTTTATATACATAACATTCTAGAAAATTTTCAGACATTCAATTAAGGATGCAGTTATTTATAATATGTGAGGTGTTGCATAAGAGTAAAGTTTTTAAGGTATTAAATGATATGACTTCGAGATCACGGAAGGATAACCAAGTATTGCAACTTTTCTGTATGTTATCTGTTTTTTTTCTGTTTTGCACAAAAATTTAATTAACATTTATGAAAAGTGAAAATATTTCTTTTTATTCTTATAGGCTTAACAGAAAAGAATTCATTCACCTGCTGTCATCTGGGAACTTACGTATACTGTGTATACTTAGAATTTTAAATCATTGTTTTAATTAAAAAATTTACGGATATCTCTTGAGTCTCTGTTGTCCAGCTCTATATTACTAAAAATACATCACGTTATTTCTGCTACCCCAGTGGCTCTAAAAGAAATTCAGTGGCTAGATTTATAAACCCAAAAGTGGCATTATTTGATACAGTTTTAAATAATAATTTATTTTGGTGGTTACAAAATACTGAATGCCCGTAAATTGGTGGACGACTTGAAGGTTTCACAAAATCTAAGAGAGGACATACAAAGGCTCGCCTCCTGCATACAGAAATGGCCTGGAACTTTAAATGTTTAATGTTCTTTTCTGTATCTGAATTTTTCTTTGTGTTGTGCTGTGGTTTTGAAGCTTCATGTGTGTTTTATGAAATTACTAATTTTTATAAAATGTAGGTCTGGCAATAGTGGACACGACCCAGGCCATGAAGGTGGTGGATCGTTCTTGTGTTCTTATAAGATGTCGCATGATATAAATTTGTTTATGAGTTTAAGTTGTAGCTACGGCTTCTTATAAACATAAACATGACATGACAGAAGATGACATTAGCAAAATCTTATTTGCAGATTCTCGATTGCTAGTAGTTTAAAAAATAAAATAAAATTTAAGAACTATCTTAAAATTTGTTTATGTAGCCGAGTCATTTTATTCTAACAAAAATTATGCAGTGAAAGCATTAAAATCAGAGATTCTGGTTGTGTCTACGTGCTATCAGCAAGGTACCGATACCTTTCTTACCGTGCAATGTGAAGAGAACTTCCTCGGAGGAAGACGTGACATTTGTGTGCGGACTTGGGTGGAATGCCATATTATCCCACTTCTAGGGCTGTTTCTGAGTGAACGTTATTTGTGTTGGTTGCTTACACAACCCTTTAACTGTATGAGTATAGTTTGAGCTGTGTGATGATGAAATTTATGTCGGGAAGTGTTGGTAACGCACTTTGTCGATTCCAATAACATAACTGCTTTTCTTGTTCCACAATTAACAATATTATGGCTATATTTTGTTCTGATGGATACAAAACCTTTTGATGTCTGCAAAATAGGTGCAGAATTTTAAATTTGCCTTTCCACAGAAAATTTAAAACTTTGGAACCTTGTGTAGTGTTACCATTCTTTATTTATTTTTAACAGGGGGATATTTCTGTACCATATGATACATTTATTTTTATTTAAGTTACATTTGTAGACATTTGTAAAATTTTTATAAATTTTGTTCTTTAAAATGACCTGGTCTAAGAATGTTAAGAGAGCCAGTAACACAGATAGAAAACTGGAATTAATTTTGTATTTGTTTTGTTTGTCAGGTGGTCTTTTGTATGTATGCGTTTGATGAACCTTTTTAATCAGTGGCATGCTTCTTTTTAGCACAAAACACTAAATCGTTTGTGTCCAAGACGTATTATCCATTCATGCTCTTCAGTAGTACATCATGACATCTTGGTGTTATTGGCGAACCATTTATTTCTGCGACACAAAAATTTTAAATTTTGAAGAATTCAAGAATGTAAACTATTGAAATGATGACTTTAGACACGACGATGAAAGGGGTTGAAAGAACATTAATTGAACTGGTTCATTAAATTGCATAACATTTCAAATAATATTATATTATTTTGATTGTATTATGTCTTTGGCTAGGAGATGTGATTAATAATTGTATAATTATAATAATCAACTTTAGTCCATTAGTCTTTTCTGCTGATGAAGTTCTCTGTGTACATGGAAATTCTGCGCTTTCTCCGAGCTTTATGCTGGCAAAAGCAATGTCTTGTGCTACTTCTCTTGAAACTATCAGAACATAGTTCAAAATTATTGTATAAATAATTTTTGTGTGTCCAACTTTGGCTTTCAGGGATGCGCTGTGTCCCCCAGCAGCCAAAGTTGTACATTGAACTACGGCTGCAAAAAAAAACCCGAGGACAAGAATTGTTACATGACGTTGAAAAGGCTATGCTGTATTCTGTAGTAAGTCAGTCAGTTGAACAAGTGTGGTTAATGCTTGATATTCCTTGCATTACTTGTCGCTGTGTATTTGTAGTTCGCCAGTCTGCGCTAGAGAATGGTTTTCATTTATTAATTCTGTAATTGTTTATTGAAGCAGGGTTGTAGTCGTACGTCAGATGGCCAGTTGTGCTGTGTGCTTTTGCACTTCATATTGTCGTGTTTAATAATCCCAGTAATTATAAATCAAACATAATTTCTTTAAGATTTTAACTTTGCCATAAACACAAAAATTAATTTCTGGGTTAAATAATAAACATTATTATGAGAATAAAGTTTAAAAAAAGATAATATTGAGTGGTGGTTAGCACTCCTGTGACATTTTTTGGAGGACTTGTCTTCAAATCTTGGTCT